CCGGCCGGCTCAGAATGCGGGGGGGGTGGGGGGTGGGAGGAGGAAGCTGCTCCGGAGTCCAGCCCGGGACTTTCCTGCAGCCCTCCCAGCCGCTCACTCTGCTCTGCCGGAGGAGGGGGGAAATCCCGGACATTGTGAGTGCTTTACAAATTCCCCCCGGACGCTATTTTTAGCACACAAAAGGAGGACATGTCCGGGTAAATCCGGACGAATGGTAACCCTAACCTCCCCCCAAACTCCCTTTGGCCGTGGTTCCCCGTTCCTGGCCAATGGGAGCTGCAGGGGAGGGGATGGGGGGTGGCGTGCCTGGAAGCCAGGGCAACACAGGGACGGAGCCTTCTGCTTCTCCCCTCCCCCCGGCTGCAGGGACGTGATGCTAGCCAGCGCGGGGCTTGAGGGGACAATCCTGTGGGTGTAGTTTGCCCACCCCTGGCCTGGATGTAGGCCGCAGGAAATAGGCCTGTGGGCCATGTGTTTGAGACCCCTGCTTTAAACTGACCCCCCTACCTAGGCTGCTCCCTACCCCAGCTACAACCCCCCCCGCAGTGCTGGGACAAGCGCCTGCACCTTGATGCCTACCACCATTTGCCAAACTCTCTCAATTTTCCACATAAGTATTAGTTCCCCACCTAAAGCCAGCACCCAAGCTATCACAGCCTCACCTTGACTCCCCCCACCCTGTTGACAGTGCTAAGGGAGCTTCCCTTCAGGATGATAGGCTGGTCCCCCTACATGAAATAGAAATGGCTTTCTAATCTTGGCAGCATGCTCAGGAAGGGAGACATCTAAGTGCTATAAACCATGTCCACAGTAAATTGCAGATGCAAAATTGCAGGCACAACTTTAAAGGCTCAGAGTTGCACCCTCGAAGTTGGAGGGCAGGTCAAAATGCTGTTTAAAAAAGCAGAGTCTACAGAGCTGGAAAAGTGTGACAACCTTCATGCTAGAGAGTCATGGTAGACAGGGATGGAGCAGACCATGCTTTGCTCCTAACCGCACTTGGCTGCTTTCTTCACGGGGCTCCTTGTGTTTGTGTCTTGCAGCTAGCTTGCTGTATTTATCTTGCCATAGATGTCTATCAGCGAGTCCACAATCTCTGCAGAAGGCAAACAGAATTTGTTTTCAGATTAGAATACTCAGATTTTTTTTTCCTGGCAAGATGATTGATACGTACTCAGTAATAGTATATAGGACACTGAATCATTTCATGACAGGCTCAACAGAACAGAAGGTTATCGGAGAAAATGAAAACTGACTGCTTTAATACTGTGCAGGAGCAGCAAAAGAGGAACAAGCATGTACAGCAGAGACAGCCCCACATGAAGAAGTGATTGGGAGAGGCTGCAGACACATTATTTAAAAATAAATAAATAAATTAATTAAATAAAGGCAGCATGATGGAGCTATCGAGAAGAGAGGGATGGGTAATGTAGAATACTAAGTACCTTGGGCAAAATGCCAGAAGGGGCTGACAAATTTGATCTTTGAGTGCCCTCTAGTGGAAGCTCTCGTTATAGTTCTCAGCACAGGACATTCTCTGGTCGATTACGCTACCAAAAATCTGTGCGCCTTTGGAGAGCATGATGGATTCCTAATGGCAAACCTCAAGGTCTCACTCTTTCCTTACAAAAAAGGACTATTGAAATTCTAGTGTGTATGCCCCATATGGTGGGATGTGAGTGATTTAAAGAAAGTTGCCTCCTGCCTGATACACCAAGTGGCAAGAGGGGACAACCTCTCCATCACACCAGCCTTCATGGACAACAGCAGGTCCCCACTCCCTTTTGTGCTGCTGCTGTCAAATATAAGAAGGATCAGTCATTTATTATTGTATGTGCTAAAAGCAACAGCAGTAAGACATTCCCAAAGACAGAACAGCTCCTGTTAGTAGGGACCACCACATGAAATTAATAAGCAGCAAGTTTAAAACAAACAAAAGAAAGTATTTCTTCACACAACGCACTGTCAACCCGTGGACCTCTTTGCCAGAGGATGTTGTGAAGACCAAGACTATAACAGGGTTCAAACAAGAACTAGATAAGTTCATGGAGGCTATTAGCCAGGATGGGCAGGGATAGTGTCCCTAGCCTCTGTTTGCCAGAAGCTGGGAATGGGTGATGGGATGGATCACTTGCTGATTCCCTGTTCTGTTCATTCTTTCTGGGGTACCTGGCATTGGCCACTGTCAGAAGACAGGATACTGGGCTAGATGGACCTTTGGTTTGGCCCAGTATGGCTGTTCTGATGTTCTCATATACTGCAGTTGATTGCTCAGAGTGAAAGCCTGAGCCCCAGATTCCACAGCACCAAGGAGCTACTCTCCTCAGAGCACAGTATTTTTGATGCTGTTGATCTCAGAAAACCAGTGTGTTAAGCTAAGGTTTTCCCCCAGCTCTGAGTATGGCATTGACTATGCAAATGAATGGATTTAATGGGAGGATAGGTGTGACTGTGCTAACACTCATGTTAAGCCCAGTGTCACCTTGATGTGAGCTGGAGGTTTGCGTAGTTAACAGAAGTGCTGTGTCCTCTCTCCTGAAAAGCCTGCTTGCTTCCTGGCTGATTATTAAACATTACACCTTCCTTTCCCTTCTCCTGCAGTTTTCCTCTTGTCTAGTCCTTCCTCATTCTCTCACTTCATCCCTTGCTCTTTCATTGCTCTCTACTTCCTTTAATTCTCCATTTCTTATCTCTTCCTTTAATTCTCCATTTCTTCTAGCTCAGCTGTTCTCAAACTGTGGGTCGGGACCCCAAAGTGGGCCATGACCTAATTTTAATGGTGTTGCCAGGGCCAGAATTAGACTTGCTGGGACCCAGGGCTGAAGCACTAGCTCCAGCCCCACCTGGGGGGGAGGGGCAGGCTAAGGCTGTGGCCCCCTCTCCACCTCACCTGGGGAAGCGGGGCTCGGGCTGCGCCTCCCTCCCAGGATCATGTAACAATTTTGTTGTCAGAAGGACCCCTGTTCTAGCTCCTTTTCTCTCCCTATACCTTCACTCTCCCAGAAGATGAAGCTTGACAAATTCAAACTGGAAACAATGCACATTTGTAACAGTGGGGGGGTCATTACTAAGGCTGTGAGTTTGTCACTGAGGTCATGGATTCCGTGACATCTGCAGTGGCTGGTGCGCCTGGCTCAGGGGCAACTCGGGCAGCCCCTGCACCAGTTGCACAGGCCGCTGCTTCAGAGGCATGGCTAGGCAGCTCTGCATACTGCCTCCATCCAGAGCGCTGGCTTCACACAGTCAATGGGAGCTGTGGGGGCGGTGCCTGCAGGCAGAAGCAGCATGCAGAGCTGCCTGGCTGTGCTTCCGCCTAGCGTCTGAGCGAGGGGGATGTCACTGCTTCCGGAGAGTCCCGCAGGAAAGCACCGCCCAGAGCCCATCTCGCCCCGTCCCATGCCTGCTGCTGCTGGGGGAGGGGCAGCACAGAGCCAGGTAGGGAGCCTGCTGGCCCCACCAACACCCAGTGCCCCAGCACCAGTGGGGGTCCTGGTCTGCGTACCACCTCCTGTCCCCCCAATACCTGGGCTGCCCTCCCCAGGTCCCCCCAAGTTTTAGTCAGGGGTATAAAGTAAAAGTCACGGACAGGTCATGGGCAGTGAATTTTTGTTTACTGCCTGTGACTTTTACTAAAAATACCCATGACTAAAATGTAGCCTTAGTCATTTCCCACTGGAACAATTTACCAGGGGTGTGGGGGATTTGCCATTACTTGAAATCCATCAAGCAAGACTGTCTTGCGAAAAGATCAACCACTAGTAGTTATGCCTGATGCAGGAATTACTGGTGAAGTTCTCTGGCCTTTGTTATGCAGGAGGTCAGATTGTATCATCACTGGCAGTTTCAGAGTTAAACTGCACTTGACCCCTCACCTCCCCCTCGGTTTTCCTCAAGGGCACCCACTTAAAGGTTTCAGTTTTCCTAGCCATCTCCTCTCTCAGGTAGAGACCCCCATCCCTCTCCCTCCAGACTGGGGGTTTAGGCTTGCAGTCCCTCCGCTCCTCCTTGGGATTTCCTCAGCAGGTATGACCGGGGTCCAGCAGCCACCACCTGGTAGCTAGTATTTCTGTAGAGGAAAGGGAAGCAAACCTGGTATTCCATCCTACCTTCTGCAGAAGGACGTTGCGAAGGCTCAAAGGCCCGGCACTGGTTGATGACATCCCGCAGGTGGGAGGGGCAATCTTCCCCAACAGGATCCTGGTAACGTTGCTCATAAACTTTCTGATAGATCTCTTGGGAGCTGCAGCCTAACACAACACACACAAATTGGGACATCAGGAGGCACTGACTTGTTTCAGATTCCACAAGAAGGTACTGGAGAGGGAACCTGATGCAAGCATTTAGATAGAGCCTCATGCAGCCTGCGAAGCCCACAGCAGGGAAGAGCCAGGATTGAAATCTTCATTATGCTGCGTCCTTGAAAAACCTTATCTGCTATGAGCCCTGCCTTAAGGCCCCAATTCAGCAGAGCTCTTAACTTCAGTAGTAGCGAAGCACATGTTTAAGAGCTTTGTTGAATACAGATGGGATTAATTATGTGCTTACAATTAAATGTGTCTAAGTGCTTTGCTGAGTTGAAGCCTAAATTCCAGGAAAGATTCTAGAGTTAAAGCTACTTTGCTCCCTGATCCAAGCAGGTCCAAGGACAGTCAGTCTTTTCATAGCCCCTCTGGGGTCTGAAGCTCCTGAGCACTAGGTAGCAATAGGGAACATTTGCCAAGTGGTGCATTTGATCCCAAATATCACCCTGCCTCAGCAGAACACATCTGGACTGGCCCCCAGGCCTTTACCCCGGTGCTTGCAGTACGACAGAAAACAAGCTCTGGTTGCCTACCTTCAAATGGAATTTTGCTGGTCGCAATCTCCCACAGGACGATCCCGAAGCTGAAAGGACACAAATAGGCCTGCTGAGCATCAACAAAGCCTCCTCAGCCTCCCTCTGATCCCTCCTCCTATGCTCATCAGCTGTGCTGCTTGCTGGATAAACTGTTGGGGAGAGAAGGAGGGTGAACCACACCCTCAGCCACCTAACAAGCAGGTCATCTGAGCACTCCCTCCTTCCTGGTTTAGGAATCAGCATGCCAGGCTGATTCATGAGCTGCTCTCCCACACAGCAGACTCCTCTTCCACTCCAGCCCCAGCGGGCTGGCTCCTGTGATTATTCTGTAGAGTCCATCTAAGTTAATATTGACTTCTCCCTACCCGTGTGCCCAATCCCTTCGGGAGGAGAACTTGGCAAGTGAAATGTAAAAAGCTCTTCCATTTCCTATGTGGTATTAATTTGTACTTTAGTAGCAGCCTTCATCCACAAAGCCCTATACAAACGTTAATCAAGCTCTGCCCCCTCCGTGTAGGGTGTCTAAGTAACACTGTTCCCTTTTAACAGAAGGGAAAGCTAATGGAGAGAGAGGTTAAGTTAGCAGTAGAGTCAGGAATAGAACTCAAGACTCTTGGCTCCCATCATCTCATGCCAAGCAAGTCACCTACAGAACCTGTCTAATAATCTGGCTTCTGTAGGAAACTGTCTACAGCAGAGCATCCATCCCTTATGTATTATAGTCCAGCATCCCCATGGAGATGTACCTGTATATTTCACTGGGCATGTCATACTTGTGGCACAGGGAAGCTAGGCCCAGGGGAGAGATGTAAGCCGAAGCAGGGACATCTGTCACTTTCTTCTTGCAGCTCCTCTTAATGGATGACTCAGTTTTACTCAGTTCAAATCCTGACAGCTGATTGAGGGAAGGAGAGAAAGACAAAGGGAGGAGCAGCATGAGCTCCATGCAATCAGGGACATGCAGCAATGATTGCATAACTGGTCAAGGTTAATGAGCTGATTTCCTTTGGGTTATATGGTGGCCTTTTCATTGCCATGAGACCAAGCAGACCACTGCAAGAACATGTTGCAGGGTCTGCCTGTTATGCAGAGTGCTCTTGCTTTGCCATGCAGGAGGTCATGGGTTTGATTCCCACTCCTGGGTCTTATAAATGTAAGGATGATGTGCTTGGCTCCATATTGAGAAGGAAGAAACAAGGGAGAGGCAGTGTTTCCTGGTGCACCACCATGATCCCGTCTGGCCAAGTGATGGAAAGAAGCTGTCTCATCTAAGCCTTGTATGGAGATATAATGGACACAATATGGAGAAGATTAAAAAGGGGCTAGAAGCAGAGATCCTCAAGGATGCAGATAAAACATAGAAATGTAAGACTGGAAGAGACCTTGACCGATCATCTAGTCTAGTGGTTTTCAAAGTGGGGTCCTCATACTCTCGTCAGGGGCTACACGAGAAAACTCCTGTAATGGCAGACAGCTCACTTTATTTAGAAAATTGGCAATCTAATCATAGGCATATTATGACCCCATCTCAGATGGGGGCATGCAGCAGATTACATTATTTGTAAAGCGGTTCGCAGCTTAAAAAGTTTGAAAACCACTGATCTCATCCAATCCCCTGCACTGTCTAGGCCATCCCTGACAGGTCTCTGTCCAACCTCTTATGAAGGAGATTCTGTGACCTCCTTAGGTAATTTATTCCCATGCTTAGCTACCCTGATAGGACATTTTTACTAACGTTTATCTTAAATCTCCCTTGTTGCAATTTAACTTCTCCTGTCCTCAGTGGTTGAGGTGAACAATTTATCACCCTCCTCTTTAGGACAGCCTTTTATGTACTTGAAGACTGTTGTGTTCCCACCTCAGTCCTCTCTTCTCCAGACTAAACAAACCCATTCCCCCCATCTTTCCTCATAGATCATGTTTTCATAGAATATCAGGGTTGGAAAGGACCTCAGGAGGTCATCTAGTCCAACCCCCTGCACAAAGCAGGACCAGTCCCCAGACAGATTTTTGCCCCAGATCCCTAAATGGCCCCCTCAAGGATTGAGCTCACAACCCTGGGTTTAGCAGGCCAATGCTCAAACCACTGAGCTATCCCCCTTTCTAGACCTTTAATCATTTTTGTTGCTCTCCTCTGGACCATTGCCACATCTTTCCCAAAGTGTGATACCCAAAACTAGACAATACTCCAGTTGAAGCCTTATCAGTGCTGAGTACAGTGGATGAATTACTCCTTGTGTCATGCTTACATGTCCTACTAATATAGTCCAGAATGAGGTTTGCTTTTTTTGCAACAGTATCACATTGACTCATTTAGTTTGTGATCCACTATACCCCCCAGATCCTTTTCTGTAGCACTCCTTCCTAGGCAGTGATTTCCCACTTTGTATTAGTGGGACTGATTATTCCTTCCTTATTGTAGTACTTTGCATTTGTCCTTATTTTATTTCATCCTATTTATTTCAGACTATTTCTCTCGTTTGTCGAGATCATTTTGAATTCTAAATCCTGTCCTTCAAAGCACTTGCAACCCCGCCCAGCTTGGTATCGGCCACAAACTTTTTACTTTCTATGCCACTGTCCAAATGGTTTCTAAGATACTGAATAGAACCAGACCCAGGACAGATCCCCACAACACCCCACTTGATATGTCCTCCCCGAACCATGAAGAGGGTACATGCTTGGTATCAGGGATGGGGCTTTTAGGGTACGTCTGCACTGAAAAAACAAAAACATCCCACTGCAGCGAGTCCCAGAGTAAGGCCTACGGTTTCGGGCTCATGCTGCAGCGCTAAAGATAGCCATGTAAACGCTCAGGCTGGAACTTGGACTCTGAAGCCCATCTCCCTCCTGAAGCTTCAGAGCCTGAGCTCCAGCTGGATCCAGAATGACGACCCAGCCACGTGTTGTGCCGTAGTGCGAGCCCGAGTCTGCAGACCTGGGCTCAGAAACGCGCTGCTGTGGGGTTTGTTTGAAGTGAAGATCCAATTTTGTTATTACAATACTCCGTCATTCCTCAGTTCTGCTTCTCCTCTTCCTCATGCCATGCCTCCTCACCTGGCTTGTGGCAGCTTGTCTTTAATCAGCTGCTATCCCTGCATGAAGAGCTGATGGAAACGTTTTCACTGAGGCCCATATTTGCAAACCTGGGGAATTAAAGCTAGGCACACACTGACACACATCCATATTTAGGTAGCTAAATAAGCATGGAGATGGGGCCATCCTTTTGTTCTGTGTTTGTACATCACTTGGCACAAGGGGTCCTGATCCACAAGGAGGGCTCCTGTGCACTACAGTAATACCAAATAATAAACAACAACATAGCCTGCTTTTCAGAGATGATGTTCATCCAATATTCCCATTAAAGTCAAGAGGGAATTCCCCATCAGAGTCTGCAATGCAGCAGTGCATTTTCAATATAAAAAACCAGCTGCATGTTAAAAATTTGGGCACTTTGTAGAACAGCCTGAAGTTAACATCTAAATAAACAAACAGACTCCTGTGCTGTTCATACTGTCCTGGGAGGAGGGCTGGAAAGGGGAAGAGGGTTTTGGGGGATGGGAGAAGACTGCGTAGTAGGGGGGTTGGCCATATAATTCAGGTGTCCCATCTGCATAGTAAATTAGCACTGAAACAATAGATGCTTGAGGTGTTACTCGGGAGGGAGGAAAGGAGAGATGGAATAGATAGCCACAAAAGCTTTCAAACCTCTCAAAAAGTCTTCTCAAAAGACAGCTCTTACCTTCACACAGTAACCTTTAGCAACTAGGAACTTGGTACTATTGATGCATCCATGCAATTTAGACTTCTCCCCCGTCTGGTGCAACCTACGGTCAGTCAGAACCAAGAGCAGAAAACATTAGCAACAGATCCATTGCTACCTTCCCTTCCTCTGCTCCCACCCAGAACAGCCACAAGGACGGACCTTTGGACACTACTGAGAATTCAGAAGCCACGTTCCTGGTGTGCCTAGTTATTCTGGGACAACAACCACAAATCAGACCTTTCCAATGACAAGACAATAATTTTTTGCCTGTAAAATGGCAAACCAGCGAATGCCATTGTCAGAGCAGCCTAGGACCAGTGGGCAGTAACCAGTCTGTTACTGGGCAGTAGTCCTAATGATGCTCTATAAGGTACTTCTGGAAGCAGCAGCACCAGGTATCTCAGGAGAAAGGCTTTTCCTACCAGGCTTCAGGCCAGATTCGCAAGCCAAAGGCATCTGAGAATCTGGGCACTTTCTTATCTAAACCCATCCTCCCATCACTTCTCCAACTGCCTGTCATGGGCTTTGTGGATGGTGAGGGTGACTTTACCCACAGTATCCACACCCCATCCACCTTTGCTCTCCTATAGATGAAACTAATTCAGGCATATAGCGGGACATCAGAAAATGAATTCACTTGTCTTCAGTCATGCTTGGTACCTTGTCACAGACCCAGATGCCATGCTATACCTCAGTTTCCCCTTTTTATCATATTAAATATATCTTGACTCAGTCTTTGCCTCTCCCTTATTCAGGGGAATCTTCATTTACCCACAACCACTGAGCCAACATCAGAGAATTGTCCAAAGCTTTGTTTCTTCCTTATCAGAGTCTCTTGCTTCTTCTGACCAGTCAGGTGCCAAAAAGCCCCTCTTGTCTCTCAGATTCCATTGCTCTGATCCTGCCCATGCTGGGGTTTAGCTACTGTTCCTCAGAGCACTAACTTCTCAGTGACTAGCTTCACTCTAGGGGGTCTCTTTCCTTTTACAGCATACCCTTCAGCCTTCCCAGAGCCAGGTGCAGACTGCCAGGGATGGCTTCCTTTCCCTCAGGCAACTTCCTTTTTATACTGTCATAGCCCCCTGCTAATTCAGCTGTTTCAATTCTAATTAACTAAAGGGCACTCCCAGGAGCACCTGATTGCTCCCAGGTGCAGCCCACAGGGTCATCATGGGCAGGGCCGGCTCCAGGGTTTTGGCCGCCCCGAGCAGCCAAACAAAGAAACAAAAAAAAGCCGCGATCGTGATCTGCGGCAGCAATTCGGCAGGAGGTCCTTCGCTTCGAGCAGGAGTGAGGGACTGTCCGCCGAATTGCTGCCGAACAGCTGGACATGCTGCCCCTCTCCGAAGTGGCCACCCCAAGCACCTGCTCGGTACGCTGGTGCCTGGTGCCGGCCCTGATCTTGGGCCAGTTGGGCTCTAATTCTCCTGAAGGGCCACTGGCCCCATGACATACCTGTATAGGCCTCTGGCCGCATCTAGTGCCATCCGAATGCGAGTCTCCCAGGGGAGCTGGGGTTTCCTTGTCAGCACATCCCGCAGGGTCCCCTTTTCACAGTACTCCATGACAATGGAGAAACAAGGGCTCGAACCTGATCAGAACAGAAGCCCAGTGAATGGTGACCTGAGCTGAGACAACTCGTGTTTACTTCATTCTCCATTAGAAATGCAGAATCCTGGATTAACGCAACTTTAACTCTGCACAGTTCAAATCAAGCATTGTCAGGAAATTCAAGAGTGATAGTTCTCTTGGCCCTTTGACATGCCCATATTGTGGGAAATAAGAAATATAAGAATGGCCATACTGGTCAGATTAATGGTTCATCTTGCTCAGCATGCTGTCTTCCAACAGTCGCCAACACCAGGTGCTTCAGAGGGAATGAGCAGAACAGGCAATCACCAAGTGATCCATCCCCTGTTGTCCACTCCCAAGAGACCAGACCTGACTCCTGTACCCATGCAACCCCAGTGACTTCCCTGGAGTTGCTCAGATGTAACTGGGAAGAATTTTTCATAAGGTTTACACATGGCCACCTGACAAGCAGTCAGAAATGCCCCAGGCAGCTAATGAAGGAGGTTAATATTGCTATCGCTAAAAAGCCTCCACAAATTATTGATTGCTCAGGCCAGGCTGAGAGGAGGGAGGAAAGGGGGGCACAATGGTATCGGAAACCCGATCTCGGGGGGCTCCCAGAACATCTGTAACATCTGTGTAAAAATAAAGTGAAATGGGAGAGGGTGGGACCCCAGTAAACATGATGTGTCAGGGCCTTGGGACTGAGCACAGGTGTAAAAACCAGAAAACACACCTTTTTAATCTCTTCTGCTGCCATTTAATTCCCCGTCCCCAACTTATCAAGGGCCTGATTCTGCCACCTCCATTCACACTGCACAGTCCACACGGGCTGAGCTGTCCCCTTAATTTACCTATTATCCATATTTACCCGGGGCTCGACTGTGCCTTATAGCTGTGAGTAGGGGTGGTACGGAGCTGCACCGCCCCAGTGGGAGCACAAGGAGGCGGTGTGCTCAGGGAAGCAGTGCCTCCTGACCTTTCCGCCAGGCAGGGTACAGCGCATGATCCCTTCCACGGCTAGCCAGCTTCATGGGCTGGTGCAGGGAGATAAGAGTGAAACTATTGCGCTGCCTCCTCCCTGGCCCTTGTGGGGTGGCTTGAGCCCCACAGGGAGCTGTCAGGGAGCAGCCTCTCTGCTCAGTAGAGCTCAGAGACTGCAGCTGTGACTGGCCCACGAGGAAGGAGCACTGAGGTGAAGGAGCGTAGTGACCACGGGCCAGAACTGAGTTCACTACTTGGCTATTGGAGTGAGCTTCACTGCCATGGCTGCCACTCCCGCTGGGCCCTGGAGCCTTTGTCATCCTGATCCTGAGCCATGTCCTGCCCGGACGGGCCAGAGAGAGGGACCCAGAGGAAATCGCCACCCTACTGGCTCCAGCTGAATCCCAACCACCTCCCGGGATGACAGGATCAGACTGTAACAACAACAGCTCCAGACCAAGGCAGCTAACTGCTTCTCTTCTCCCCAGCAGGACAGTTATTGCCACCTTTGATACCTTCTAAGAGCTTGTCAAACATGGGGCTTTTCCTTCTCTCTCCAGCTAAAGGGAAAGGGAACAAGGGATGTTGTTACAACACAACCCTTATTTAATGCTTTTCAAAGGCTTTAACTGTTTTTCCTTCTTTTCTGTATCAGTAAGAAAAAGGTTCAAGGGATTTTTAATGGTGTGTGTGCCATGGTATTAAGCAGGCTGAGGTCTCTGTATCTCAAATCTTGTCTAACCCTGTTTAATGCTGGACAATGATTGGGTTATGTTTGGCGCATATATTCCATCTATATTCATACAACTTTATTGGGTCAAATGCTAAATGACGTTTAGTATAAAGAATGCTAAAGCAGCTTTTATTTTAGGTGACAGGGCACTGCTATGGGCCATGCACTCACTCTGGGCTTGGTCCCCCAGTGTCCCTTTTCCCTTGGCATGCTTATGGTCACAAGGAATGAGTGGAAATGCATGAAAGAGTAATTGATGATGAACCTTTAATTATATTTAGCAAAGTATTATATTATATATAATTTTACGTAGCCTTATTCCATTAAATGGAGGTCTGTTTCCAACTCCTTCTCACTTTGGGCTCTCACATGTCCTGCTTACAAAGAGGACATCTGCTTGTGAACACCAACAGGTTTTGCCAGAAAATGTCCACCTCAGACTGGAATCTTCTACTATGATCTCAGATCAAGATACTGAATTATTGGTCCATGATGAGCTACAGCTGACATGCTGGAATCTCTGATTGGACACGAGTGTCCCATGCAGCAGAGTAGGCGATTCAGTGATCCCCACAAAACCTAATGCTAACTATGCAGAGAGAAGTGGGGGAGGATGTCTCTTGTACCACTAATGACATTTGGAGTTGTATCCTGCTCTCTTCCTAGTACTGGCCATCTAGAAAAGGGGAAGTGAAAGATTCCAAGCCTGAAGTACAACTCAGAGAGAGAAAAGACCAAACTTGCCCCACTGCATGTGAAAGAGCTCCAAGTTACATCTTATCATCGATAAAGCCACTGGTAAAAATCAGCTTTGTTCCAAACTAAGACCAATCACGTGAGCTAAAGAGTTTGAGAAGTAGAAGTTGCGAAAACCATTGTGGAACAATTCAGGGAGGCTTGAATCACTTCAACACCTAGAGTATGTGTGTATCTCTTTGCAGATCACTTAGCTGTCCCCCAAAGTAAACACTAAATTCCTAAGGCTGTTCTTTAAACAGTAAGAGATCTCCAAACCAGGGTTGTTCTAAAGCCGCTTCAAGCGTGGGACTCTATCAATCATCCTGTATATGTGCCAGGCTGTCAGAAAGATGCAGGCAATTGTGTTAAAATGGGGAGGAGAAATAGACTAGATCAGGGGTTCTCAAACTTCATTCTGACAACAAAGTTACTACATGACCCTTGGGAGCGGAAGGGAGTGGAGCCCGAGCCCTGCCTCCCTGGGTGTGGGGGAGAGGGGCCCATAGCCCGAGCCTCACGCGCCAGGTCAGGGTGGAGTTCGGGCTTCAGCTTCTGCCTGGGTCCCAGCAAGTCTAATGTAGGCCCACTTTGGGGTCCTGACCCACAGTTTGAGCACTGCTGGACTAGATAAACCAAAGTTTGATGTAATTTCTGTGAAGAGTGAAGTTACTGGAAGACAGCAGCTCGAGAAGGAAGTTACCAGCAAATCCGTTTAAGAGCCGCACTTCCTTAAAAGGCAAGTAACAGGCTCTGAGCTAACTGGCTTAAATAAAAGGGAATAGCTTCTCCCCGTAACTTTCCTCTAAAACCTTAAGAATTGTTTTCTAAACTTGTTCAATATGAATTCATTACTAATTGTAGTAATTGGCGAACCAAATACATTGAACCAGTGCGTTATTTCAATTACAACCTTAATTTGACCATTGTAAATTAGGTTAGTTCAATTAGAAGTTAAATTAAGCAGTGACATATGTTGCTTAGACTGATATTTGTTCACCAACTACTTGCTTAATCTTTTAGTGCATTCATAAGAGATACACTGAACTGGTTTGTGTCTCAAAACTTCAATGCAGACAAAGTAATCTACATAGGGGAAAAAGGTAAAATCATTAAAGATAATTCATTAGCCCATTCTATAGTTTAGTTACTGATAGACCCAGCCCAGTTGGTAACAGCAGAGTAGCAGAAGGGAGATATACTGGCCACTGGATAAGTAGTTTTCTGTTCCCTAAGTGACCAGAGCAGGGGCTGCTCCAGGCTTATAGACCACCTGACTCCAATTAACCTGCTAAGAGTCAGGTGAGGCAATTAAGCACCTGACTCTAATTAAGGCCCCTCTGATGCTATAAAAGGGCTCACTCCAGCCAAGCCAGGGAGCAGAAGTGTGTGCAAGAAGCTGAGAGTGAGTAGGCATACTGCTGGAGGACTGAGAAGAACAAGCATTATCAGACATCAGGAGTAAGGTCTGGTGGTGAAGACAAAGAAGGTGTTGGGAGGAGGCCATGGGGAAGTAGCCCAGGGAGTTGTAGGTGTTGTGCAACTGTACCAGGAGGCACTCTAAACAGCTGCAGTCCACAGGGCCCTGGGCTGGAACCTGGAGTAGAGGGCGGGCCTGGGTTCCCCCCATACCTCTCAACTCCTGCTCAAACACAGGAGGAATTGACCGGGACTATAGCTTCTACCAGAGGGGAGGGTCTCTGGACTGTTTCCTGACCCACAGGATGAATCTGTGATGTGAGCAAATCTGCCAATAAGTGCAGGACCCACCAAGGTAGAGGAGGAACTTTGTCACATTACTTAAAATAACATTGCATTGTTCCTATAGGAGACCGCTCCCAGTGCCTTCCTTCTTGTGGAGTCTGAGCAAGGTTCAGCCACAGGCTGGCCCCATGTCACTTTGGGGAATGAAAAGCAGACACAGCTCAGCTCCAAGGTGACCCACTTTGCTGGATATGTACTATTGGAGTCATGAATTCCTGTGGAGAGGGGTAGCCAGAGCAGGGCCCTATTCCTTCAGGTATTTTCTTGGCCATGCCAGCTGTGGTATTACATCATGGGCCTTCCATCCCTGTTGGCTGGCTTTGGCCATATCTCATCACACCCATCTGGACCGTGGCTGCATCATGTTTGATGTGACCAGTGTGGCCTGATGTCTGGACTCATAAATTCAGGCTGTCACGGAGTCACCGGGCGATGCTCTGGAACTACTCCCTAGGAAGCCAGTCAGGACTCTGGGGGATCCTCCTCTCTCTGAGCAGACTGTCTCCAGGGCAAGAAGCTTACGCAGCTTCTACCTTCCTGGGTCTGGCCTCGGAGCATTCAGCATCCCCTTCCACACCGTGTGATTCCCACAGTGAGTCTGCCTGGGCGGGGCTCCTGGGGAAGCCAGAGGGCCCCACACCCCAATTCCGCAGTCAGATGTGACTCTCAGCTAGCCAGTAAAACAGAAGGTTTATTAGACGACAGGAACACAGTTCAAAACCGAGCTTGTAGGTACAGAAACCGGACCCCTAAGTCAGGTCCATCTTGGGGGCAGGGAAGCCAGACCCTGGGGGTCTGGGCCTCCCTCTCTTTCCCCAGCCAACTCCAAACTGAAACTCTCCAGCCCCTCCTCTGGCCTTTGTCTCTTTCCCGGGCCAGGAGGCCACCTGATCTTTGTTCTCCAACACCTTCAGTTGGCACCTTGCAGGGGACGGGCCGAGGCCATCAGTTGCCAGGCGACAGAGTGTTGGCCATTCTCTGTGCAGACAGCATCATACTGGCCCTCTAGGGCTCTGCAACAATCACACACCCTTATCCCACCACCTAGATACTTGATACTTAAGACATGCATAGGGGAAACTGAGGCACCCACACAGTATTCGGAGAAAACATTAAGAACATTCGCACTTTGTCACACAGGCCCCTCCACTTGTGCAGCAGCAGGGGTGACAAATGCTGTGCTAGGAGATGGATGCAAAGAGGTGAAATGGGAGCATGCGGTGGAGAGTCAGTGACTGAGATCCCACCACCCTGAGGTTCCTTACCTCTCTCGTCGATGCAGATACCGTACATACGAAGGATGTTCGGAGACTCAAACTTCTTCATGGTTTCAATCTCCTTCCTGAAAATCTCCCTCACCTTCCTGCAACAGGCAGTAGAGCAATCAGGCCTCTGGGCAGAGCAGGTCTGTGGGAGCTGGTGAGGCAGGGACAACCCCCTCCTCCAATACAGTCCAAAGGTGGGGCTAATCCCAGTGACATGGCCTCCAACCCCACTCCAGGCTTCCTCCCCAAGGCTGAAGTATAGCAGAGAGCAAACACACATATCCCCCTTTAACTGCATTTTGCTATCTTTCTAGTTCTCTAAACAGTAGCCACCTAAGGAGATCACTGGTTTCCTGCTCTGTGAGACTTCCCAGCATGCACCTTGCTAGTGATGTGGCAGCCATCACTCATGGACACTGGGCTCCAGTGTCCATGCTTGTGAGGAGTAATGCACATCCATTCCCCTGGCATTTTCTTTTCAATACCCTTCACCCACCAGGGTTCCTTGAAAACTGCAGAGAACCTCTGAATATTGGGAGGAAGAAAGCAAACAACTCTCTCCCACATCCCCCTCCATAGCAGACGCCATGTCCGAAGATGAATGGCAGATGTGATGGCACCAGCAGAAGGAATGCTGGGATGTGTCAGCTGGTGAGTACTTGGGGCCTGATCTTTGGGGAAGGAAAACTAAGTTAAAAGGAGTAATGGGCTTAAATTCTCCCACAGCCTATCAACGTGGGCCTTCTGCATCCAACAAGGATGTTCTGTTTGTGTGTAAATTCCAATGAAGTCCCTTGGATCCATTTCCTGGAGCTGCAGTTTTTGGAAATCAGATCCCATTGCATTTTCCAGGCAGACTAGGCGACAACCTCAGGATCCTGCCTGACATGCCCTCTCCCCACAGGACAAGTTCTAGTGTTTGAGTCAGGGGTGGGCAAACCTTTTGGCAAAGGGCCACGTCTGGATATGGAAATTGTATGGCGGGCCATGAATGCTCACAAAATTGGGGGTTGGGGTGCAGGAGAGGGTGAGAACTCCAGCTAGGGGGAATCAGGGCTTGGGCAGGGTGTTGGGGCACGGGAAGGGGTCAGGGGTGCAGGGTCTGGGCGGCGCTTACCTCAAGCAGCTCCCAGAAGCAGCGGCATGTCCCCCCCTCTGGCTTCTACACGGAGGCATGGCCAGGCAGCGCTGCACGTCCGCAGGCACCACCCCTGCAGCTCCCATTGGCCACAGTTCCCAGCCAATGGGAACTGTGGGGGCGGTACTTGGGGCAGGGGCAGCATGTGGAGCGGAACCCCCTGGCTGCCCCTATGCATAGGAGCTGGAGACGGGACATGCTGCTGCTTCCAGGAGCCGTGCAGAGCCACAGCATGCACGAAGCGGGGCAAGCCCCCGACCCTGCTCCCTGGCTGGAGCTGGAGGGCTAGATTAAAACGTCTGAAGGGCCAGATGTAGCCCCTGGGCTGTAGTTTGCTCTCCCCTGGTTTGAGTTATTATAGTTAGATTGCTGCTTTTGGCTTCCTTCATCTTTGTGGTTCTTACTCCACCCTCCCTGCTATATAAAGGGCTCTGGGATACGTGCAGTGTTGCATAACGCCAGACAGGCTCACACAGAGAGTAGCAGTGTTTTGCTATCAACTTTAGCAGGGAGGAAGCAAAGCTACTTTGTCAGTGGCCAGGTTGTCTCCCAGCTGAAGAGCCCCCTTTCTTCAGTATCAAGGCATTTCTCAATGATTGAGGGAGAGGATGACAGCAATCCCCCTCCTCAGTAGTTACATTCTTGTTGGGACCTTCGCTGAATAACTCACTCAGTGGAGGTGATCACAGGGTTTTTGAAGACTTTGATGGCAACAGGGTACTTGTAGAATTCTCCTTTGTAGAGCGTGTGGCTTTTGGAGTCCATCAGGAAGGTCCATGAGGTTTTAGTGAGATCCTCCATCCTAATCTCAGTGATTTCCTCTCTTGGAATAGCATTGTCCTTTTTCATGACTGCATCCTGCACTGGGACAAAGGGAAACAAAGAGAGGGAGTGTTAGATGATGATCTTGATAAGAAATCTCTTCCTCTGTCTGTCTACAGCTACACTATGGAGTCCATGCCAGCACAGAGCCCTTTTGCTGATGCAGTGTACAATGACAGAAGGAGTTTTTCTGCTGGTGTAGAAATACCATCTCCCCAAATGACATTAACTATGTCAACAGCTTTCATCAGCATAGCTGTGTCTATACTGGGGTTTTTGTCAGCATAGCTGTGTCGGTCAGGGTGAGGTTTTCCCCCTCACATCCCTGACTGATGTAGCTATGCTGATATAACTTTCAAGTGCAGACCAAGCCTCTCTGCCTTCCCAGCCTATAGGAGAAATAACTTGCTTAGTTCATAATTTGTTGTCTGGATGAAGACACTTGATCTAATCTAGCCAATGAGTTTTTATACTGTGCTCATCACAGCATCCAGATGTAATGATTCAATGGCATCTTCCCACATATGTCCCTAGTTTGGAGACACAATGGCCTGTCATGATTTGTCTCTGGATAAACAAATGTGGGGTGGAGAGAGCTCCACATGTCCTATAAAGCTGCTATATGCAGTTGCAACTGTGCCATAATGGAGACCAAGACCTACGCAGTGAAATTTCAGGGCTTTTTCTCATAGACTGAGACTTTAAGGCCAGAAGGGACCATTATGAGTCAGCATTGTGCCCTTGTTGCCAAGAAGGCTAACGGCATATTAGGCTGCATTAGTAGAAGCACTGCCAGCAGATCAAGGGAAGTGATTATTCCCCTCTATTCGGCACAGGTGAGGCCACATCTGGAGTATTGCATCCAGTTTTGGGCACCCCACTACAGAAAGGATGTGAACAAATTGGAAAGAGTCCAGCGGAGGGCAACAAAAATGATCAGGGGGCTGGGGCACATGACTTATGAGGACAGGCTGAGGGAACTGGGCTTGTTTAGTCTGCAGAAGAGAAGAGTGAGGGGGGGATTTGATAGCAGCCTTCAACTACCTAAAGGGAGGGTTCCAAAAAGGATCGAGCTTGGCAGTTCTCAGTGGTGGCAGACGACAGAACAAGGAGCAATGGTCTCAAGTTGCAGTGGGGGAGGTCTAGGTTGGCTATTAGGAAACACTGTTTCACTAGGAGGGTGGTGAAACACTGGAATGGGTTGCCTAGGGGGGGGTGGAATCTCCATCCTTAGAGGTTTTTAAGGCCCTGCTTGACAGAGCCCTGGCTGGGATGATTTAGTTGGTGTTGGTCTTGCTTTGCGCAGGAGGTTGGACTAGATTGCCACCTGAGTTCTCTTCCGACCCGGGTCTTCTATGATTC